ATAATTTATATTAATTAAAATATAATATAAATAAATAAATAAAACAGAAAATAAAATAAATAATATATATTAATTAAAATTTTCTTTAATTAATAATAAAATAAAAAGTAATAATCACAAAAAAACAAAAAAACACAAAAATTTATAAAACATCAATGATTAAAACCTACTTAGGGGTGGCATTAGCACATGATAGGGGTGCCATTAGCCACCCCCTTCAAATAATATTTATTTATGTTCGTTTAGCCCGTTCGTTTACGTTCGTTTAGCATGTTAACGAACAAACATAAACGAACACGAACACACATGATTTCTAAACGAACACGAACACGAATACGAACACAAAGATTTTCGTTCGTTTACCGTTCGTGTTCGTTCGGTCTGTTTGCAGCCCTAAATACAATCAAGCAACTATATATATATATATATATATATATATATATATATATAGAGAGAGAGAGAGAGAGAGACCTAATCAAATGAGAACTAATTAGTTTGTGGTAACCGTGAGGTCCAATCTCAACCACAAATCAATAGATAAATTAGAAAATTTATAATTTAGGTAATTTTTAATTAAAATTTTAATGCAAGGGTATTTTAGGTATTTTCTCTCCTCTCTCTTATCTCCTCTCTTCTCTCTCCGTCCCCCGGCCTCCGACCACTGTCCTCCAGTGATATCACAGTGGTATCACAATGCATCATATATGTGATTGAGTATCACACTGTGGTCGTTTGTGTTGTCGATCGGATATGTAACACAGTGGTATCACAATGCATCTTATATGTGCTTGAGTATCACACTGTGGTATCACCGGAGAATGGTGGCCGGAGGACGGTGGCCGGAAGACGGGGACGGAGAGAGGAGAGAAAATACCTAAAATGTCCTTGCATTAAAATTTTAATTAAAAATTACCAAAATTAAAAATTTCCTAATTTATCTATTGATTTGTGGTTGAGATTGGATCTCACGGTTACCACAAACTAATCAGTTCTCCCTTGAATGAGCCCCTATATATATATATAGGGTTGGGTTCACGTGAGACCAATTGCTTCGAAGATGTGTAATCAATAGCTAGATTCAAGAACTGATGCATTCAATGGCAAGATTCAATAATTGATTAACGGTTCGAGTTCTATATTTTAGAACCGCGTTGCATTGTGCGGATACACTTCTTTGTGTGTGTTTATAGATATAGAAAAAAAAATAGGATAAAAGACAAAAAATATATGAAAAAGACTAAAAAATGCCCCCTTATTTAACCAGGTTAAAGGATTTATTTTGATCCCGTTAGTGGCAAGGACTCAAAGGAGTGCGGAAATGAAAATCCTGAATCCCGTATTTGTATTTATTTTGATTTTGAGACCAACGTAGGTAAAAAGTGTAAACCACAGGAACAATTTTGTAACTCTTACATTTTTTCCCCGATGAAAAGCTTGTGAAAATATCCTATGGTGTGTGATTGTCATATATATTTTGTGAAGATGGTGAATACGACAAAGCCTTAATATAACCCTTCACGCCGTTTTCACAAAAAACGGCCATCTTCACACCCATTATATAAATGTTACATTTTTTCATGTTTCTTGAAAAAATGACATTTTTTTTATCAAAAGCTAAGGGGTTGTTTGTTTACCTGTTAATATTTCCATTAAGAGACAATCCCTGAATCATCAAGAGTTCGTTGTAAATAATTACCAAACAAATTTATTTCATTTTATACTATATCATGAGAGCCTCTTAATCATTCTGTACCAAATCATTCAACAACTGTTAAATAGCCCCTAAATCAATATAAAGAGCATTTTGAAAGAGAAATGCAAACCATAAGAATAATTTGTGTATTAGTAAAAATTAACAACTTCCAAATGTTATCTATACTATCTTATTAAGCAAATTTAACAAAAGTCTTAAAGTCTTAAAATTCTAAATGACCAAAATACCTTTTATACTCACTTTTTCACCATCTCCTCTCCTTACATACACTCACCCTCTTGTAACCTATTTTTTTTTTTTAAATTATAATTTTAAATTTACACTTTATACCCCTATAATTAATTAATTAATTTACTTTACGTCATTTACTTTTAAATATTTCATTTTAATCATTTGTCAAATTAACATACATAATCGTATATAAATTAAAACATGTTTAAAAAATACATTTTTAWTTTAACAAGTTACACCATTATAATCGTCTCGTTAATACCTTCGAAATAAGTCTAATATTGAATAGTTTTTTATTTAATTATATTATTATATATTATATATACTGTGAAAAAAATATCTTTAATATTTACGATTTATACTTTTATAGTTATTTATTTATATATATACTATATATTTTGGGGTTAGACTGTCCAAATTGCACTGTATAATATGTTTTAAATTAATATGTTCTTGGGTTTTTTTAAAAAATATATATATATATACATGTATTAATTCAATCTTAATCTGAGATTTTGAACAAGAAAGAGGGTAAGCAGTTGAAATTTCATTCTAAAACTCATCTTTTTTTGTCTTTTCATGGCTTATGATATGTCAAATTTGTAGTTTTTTTATTGGTTTTAAGTGTTTATCTTAAAACTTAAGTTTCTTGGTTCTTTGCTCTTGATGTAAATCAAATACATTTGTGGAGTCGTTTAAATATGTTGGATTTTAAATATATTGGATTTTAAACTGTTATACAATTTTTTTCATCGATAGTCTGTAATTAGAACCATAACTCTTATTTATTCAAATTGTATTAATATATAAAGACCAAGTGTAACTTATATTATCGTTAAATCTTATCTTATAAAATTAATGAAACTTCAAAATCGTTAAAATTCATGGCTCCCGCTGCATTTTATGGGTACACAACTAGTATATTACTAAACCGCAAGGTCCAAAATTGTAGTTTACCCTTCCAGAAACATCCGGCAGCCAATATCCATATGTCTGAGACGGAATCCAACACATGGCAGACCACCGCAACAAATGAAACAACAATTGACTAGTCTATTTTCTCATGAACCCGCACCATACCTGATCATAACTCCTTAAACCCCACCGGCCTTCCCGGTCACCGGTTGCCTATAAAACCCTCTAGAACCTCTCTATCTTCTTCCTCAGTCAGTCCCTCCTCTACCTCTGCAACACCCATCTTCAAGTCACTTTTTATCTTCAACAAGCGTCATGGGTACGCGAATTTCCATGAATTATTTCACTTTTATTTTCTATTTCTTCTGATCTTGATCTAACGTAACTTGTTTTATTTTCATTTCAATTGTTTTGTTTCATGATGTTGTTCAGGCAAGATCAAGATCGGGATCAATGGTACGAGATCTTATATGCTTTTCACTTTTATAAAGATTTAATGTCTACCGTTGTTCTTCTGGGATGATTTGGTGTGTTTTAATCTGAACTAACATGCAGGGTTTGGAAGAATCGGTCGATTGGTGGCCAGAGTAGCTTTGCAGAGGGATGATGTTGAACTTGTTGCCGTTAACGATCCCTTTATCTCTGTGGACTACATGGTTTGTAACTTTGATCATTTTATGTTGAACTTGTTGCCGTTAAAGTAGCTTATGGTTTTTTTAAGTTTCAATTTCGATCGGTGTATGATTATTCCGAATTTGGTTCAGTAGACGATGGATCTGTGTATTTATAGTGTTTTTGATTTGATGTTATTAACTATTTGATCGAAATTTTGTTGCAGACATATATGTTTAAGTACGACAGTGTTCATGGTCATTGGAAGCATCATGAGCTTAAAGTGAAGGACGACAAAACCCTTCTTTTCGGTGAGAAGCCTGTGGCTGTTTTCGGTTCCAGGTGCACGATCGTCCAATTTTAGTAAAGTTCATGTATTGGTATGCTTTCTAAATTTAGGGTAATTTTATGGGCTATTTGTTGATTGATCTTTTGTTTTGTTCTAATTGAAGGAACCCTGAAGAGATCCCATGGGCCCAAACCGGAGCCGAGTACGTCGTGGAATCCACCGGAGTTTTTACCGACAAGGATAAGGCTGCTGCTCATCTGAAGGTATCTCATATGGAGAGTTTGATTTTGTTTTGTTGGTACTTTGAGTTTGGGATGAAAATTTCATCATATATACTATACTTCAAGGAACCTTTCGTTTGTCCGGTATGCACATGTACTAGAAACCAAAAAATATCGGACAGAATGAATGTTTACTAGGATGTAACTTAGTTTTCCATTTCCTTTTTGTGGTTTTGCCCAAATCGGAGTCTACTTCCTTGATCATTTAGTATCTTCTTCCCCTATATGTTTAGGGTGGTGCTAAAAAGGTGATCATTTCGGCTCCCAGTAAGGATGCACCCATGTTCGTCGTTGGTGTGAACGAGAAGGAATATAAGAAGGACCTGCACATCGTTTCGAATGCTAGTTGCACCACCAACTGCCTTGCCCCCCTTGCTAAGGTTCAATTACTCCGCCAATAATCACATTAATCAAGTTTCTTTTTTAGCTTGAAATTGGACTTAGTTTCTTTGAAACCATGGGTGTGCTGCAGGTTATAAATGATCGTTTTGGTATTGTTGAGGGTCTTATGACCACCGTGCACTCTATTACCGGTAGGTGTTCGAGTTTCTTGATCTGCAAATGTTCCTTTTTTTTATATTTCAAAGCTCTGATTTTGACACAGAGGGGTTCAAATAGCAACACCCATTTGGAGTTGTTGACTGACTGATTGATGTCATCGGTGTAATGTTTCAGCTACACAAAAGACTGTTGATGGACCATCAGCCAAGGACTGGAGAGGTGGAAGAGCTGCTTCATTCAACATCATTCCTAGTAGCACTGGTGCAGCTAAGGTATTTGGAAATTCAAGTTTCAATTTTTTTTCTGGAATTATGGGCAAAATTGTAACATTTGATCTTTTTGGGTCTTGATAGGCTGTAGGAAAGGTGCTCCCTCCGTTGAACGGGAAGTTGACGGGGATGTCCTTCCGTGTCCCAACTGTGGATGTATCCGTTGTCGATCTGACTGTCAGACTGGAAAAGTCTGCGACCTACGATCAAATCAAAGCCGCCATCAAGTAAGCAATGGTGATTCATTTGATTGGGGTTTATCTTGATGCAAGCAAGATGGTTGTAATGGTCTTGTTTGGATTGTTGTTATTAGGGAGGAATCAGAAGGAAAGCTGAAAGGGATCTTGGGTTACACCGATGAAGATCTGGTGTCCACAGACTTTGTGGGAGACAGCAGGTAAGGGAGGGATTCCTTTAAAAGGCAGCATCAACTTTGTGTGGTTGTGATGTAAAGAATAAGCAAGTGGTTTGGTGTGGTGACAGGTCGAGCATATTTGATGCAAAGGCAGGAATCGCGTTGAATGACAACTTTGTGAAGCTGGTTGCGTGGTATGACAACGAGTGGGGTTACAGGTACTGTTTCCATCCATCAAACGTTGTCGCTTTTATTAATTGGTTTCGTTTGAAAAGTGGGATGATGTTGAGGTTGTCTGATGCAGCTCCCGTGTGGTCGATCTGATTGTTCACATGGCGTCTGTGGAGTAAATTTTGGGAGAAAAATGGTGGTGAAGAATAGGAAGTGTAATAAAGTGGTGGGTAGTGTAGAAGCTACTACCTTTTGGCTGTGTGTATTGTTGGTTGGTGTTGTGTTGTTATTAGAACCTTGCTCTGCTATGCTGCATTGTAATTCTATACTTCATTTTGAGGTAATATTCTATCCTTCCGTTGCTTTTTTGCTTCTTGGTTCAAGGTTTTACCCAACATATTTGATTGCGTAGAAATCTACGTGTGAGTGATGAAAATACGACATCAAACACATCTTTTTTACGATTTGGTCTTGTTCGGATCGATATCAGGACTAGGTTTTAAGTTCTTGCGTAATTCAATTTAGTTGTAAGATTGATCGAAATCAAACTGACAGACAACGTCTTGTGTAATGGTTGGATTCACAAATTCCAGTTCACTGGTTCAAGATTAATGTGACGGTTGTGGAAAAGAGTAAGAGTAAGCGAGATGAGGTGAAGTGAGTAGAGTAGAGACTAATAATATCTGCTCATAATCATATATTTATTATGTTATGTAATGAAAAATATTCAAATATGTAATTGTTTTACCATGTTTTAACAAGTAGCATTCAAATCAATTTTATCATATTTTCCAATTCAATATTTTAGTGCACAACTTTAGGATGTAAAATAAACATAAACTATTCATCCACCACTTATTATAAGCGTGTGTGGATATATCTATACTATCTTATAAAGTATTTGGTTAAAATTCTTAAAAATTATTAAACTTGTTTATCTTTATTCGATTTTATTTCATATCTGAATTTTTGAAACTAACTGTAGATAAATACAATCAAATACATGATAGACAATTTATTTTAAATATAGAAAATTTAAAATATAATTAGTATAATCATTAAATTCTAACAGAATACTTAATTATTATCTTTATAAAATTTATAATATTAAAT